TATTTGATTGTGTTTATCTGCAGTTAGTTACACGAATTCAGTTATGGGATGAAATCGGATAGGGATGAAATTGTTTATGGATGAACGGGTTTAAGAGTTTTAAGAGTTTAAGAGTTTTTAAGAGTTTTAGCCAAATGCTTTATAATATAGTATAGATATAAATTAAGAGATAAACAAACAACCCCTAATTTTAAGATACCCCACCAATTTACGATTATTTATTACGTGRTTTCACGATCAATTAGATTGTCTTTTTTTAAATAAAAAATGCTTAGAAAATTAAATTTCAAAAAATTTAATATAAGTATTTTATTAAAATATTCTATAATTTTATTATTTTGATGTTTTTACAAAAATTATACAAAATAATAATTTAATCTTATCCGTGGAATAAAAAAAGGTGTTTTGTTAGAGATATTAAACAGTAATTAATATGATTATAAATAAAAGAAACTGTTTTATTTCATATAATATAATGTATTCATTCGTCCATAAGTCCATTTTTTTATTTCAAGTTAAACCGGATGATTGAAAATTCATTCTATTTTATTTGCACTTTCATTTCCTGTACAAACTAAACAGCCTCTCGTTTTCTCTCGTCTCACTTGAAACTTTATAAAAGTCTGTAAACTTTGCCTTTCTTGGTTTTAGAAAAATGATATATAAATTGTGGTGGTGATTTTAATGTCAGCAACCATTTGGTTCAAGTGTAATTTACTCGAGACCGATTAACAGGGTTGGTCCTGAGATTTTGGATGTCCATGGCGGAAAGCCAAAAAAATGCCCCTTATGTGTTTATATAAAAACCAAAATAAACTATTTGAAGGGTTTGGAACCTATTCAATCTAGGCGGCTCATCCTCACGCTGATTTTTTTTTAATATAACAAAAATGATGCGGGGGGCGGGGGGATAAACCAAAACCCTGTGTAACAAAACATATAGTACATTATCATTCACCTAAAATGATGTCTTCTTGCGTTTTTTGAAGCAAAAATATCTATCATTTTGTCATAACTAATATCAGCTAAAACAGCTCCTAAAAAGCTTAAGCCTTTATTCTATACTAAGCATCAATCTTAAGCCTTTGTCTTATACTAACCCGCTTAAAAACAGCTTCTAGAAAGCTTAAGCCTTTATCCTATACTAAGCATCAATCTTAAGCCTTTGTCCTATACTAACCCGCTTCAAAACAGCTCCTAAAAAGCATATAAACAGCCCTAAAAGTAGAAAATTTAGGACTTGAGCAAATTGAAAGGAATTTAGAGGATGTAAATAGTGAACAGGAATTTGGGCCAACCACCCAACAAATGGCAGCAGAAGTTTATGAGCTAGTTTCATTATTAGGTTTTCCAATTAAACAAAATTAAAAACTTAAAAAAATAAAATAAGTAATATAATAACCCTAAGTTAAAGACTTAAATGTTAAATCCCTGACCTCAACACAAGTAAGTAGTCACAATGAGAGAGGGCGACGGGTGAGTGGCGATTGGTGAAGGGCGGAGAGCGGGAGCGGGAGCCGGGAGGTAGAGAGCGAGAGCGACTGGCGACGAGAGAGGCAGCCGCAGACCGGCAGAAAGCAGACGACCGTCGATAGTCGACTAGTCGAGCGAGAACGAGAGCCAGCCGATTGCGATTTCGATTTCTATTGAGTGAGCGATAGAGCAAGGCGGGAGTCGAGAGGCAAGAGGGAGGATGATAAGAACGGCAAATTTTTTAGGCCCAACTTAACCTATACATATACATTGGGCTTTAGGCATTTGCTGCCCTGGGCCGTCGCCCCTTGGGCCTATGCCCAGGGCCGGCCCTGCTGATTAAGGTGACGAGACAAACATAAGTAAGTTGGAGGTGCGGAGTGCACACTCGCAAATGTTGTCCATGTTGCCTTAGATCGTTATATGACGGGGGTCAAATTGTACTGAATAATTTACTGGCTCGTTTATCCTTTATATTCTTCATCGAAGGCATTTGATATGTTTGCTCAAATTTATCTGTTTTAATAGATGTTAAATATGATTAGAATGATTTTCCCTTTAAACACCCGACTCAGTTACTACAATATCAATTCATAACAATCAGTTTAGACCCATGTCAAACACTGGGTATGTAATTTTATATTTGTTTTCGGTAATTTACATGATAAATATATAAAAAACAAAAAATAAATATTTGTGTTACTTATTCATAATTTATAAAATGAAAATAGATTTAACGGAGATGGTGGGTGGGGACCACTTTTTTGCCGTCCCAAATCTAGACGGTATATTTGCCGTTCAAATGGAGTGGCCGGCAAAAAAAATTGTCGTCCGATTGGGGTTGCGAACACTGTAAAACCGTGAATATGTCAGATGGTTGGAGATGCTCCGATAACATATCAACTTCAATAATAAAATTAAGTGAAAACTGCAAATTTAGTCCTTATGGTTTTTCATAAATAACACTTTTTATTATTGCGGTTTCAAAAGTACTAGATGACATCATGGTTTGCAAAAACATATGGATCTGGTTCCCCTTTAATGGCTGTTAAAAAAATTCCGTTAAATAAGAAACGTTTTTGTCATTTTATCGATTTTTTGTCTCATTTACCCAATCAAAATCGATTTTATGATTGTGGTTTTTAATTGGGTAAAAGATAGAAAAAAAAAACTCGGAAAAATGACGAAAATGTCCATCATTTGATGGAATTTATTAAAGGTCGTTAAAGAGAGGGGCCAAATATAGACATTTTTGCAAGTCATGACATCATTTTATAATTTTAAAACTGTAAGGGAAAAAAATATCATTTTTGACAAACCATAGGGACCAAATTTGTATTTTACTCTAGAATTTAAGTTCAAATTAACAATTTGGAAAACGTCGTTATCTATGTCGATTTGTTGTATTATTTAAAACCCGAAAATCTTCTTGGTATAGTTTTACTTAGTTGTGAATTTACGAAACTGCCCATGTTATTTTTAAATTGGACACGCATCGTTGTATTTGAGAAATGCTTAACGCGTAAGGACACAAAGGTCAAAGAGCAAAATAGACATCCATCTCCTTCGTTTGCTTTCCCACTCGGATCTTCTTCCATTTGCGGTTATTTTGAAAAGACTCAGGATGACAATGAAATAATGTTATCTTTAAATAAAAAATGTTGGAATATTTTTAGTTTTTTAAATTAATTAAATATTTTTCAATAATATATAGTTATCTTAAATTTGTCTTCATTTCTTAGGGTAAAATGCGTGAAATAACAACCTAGTAATGTACTTTCAAATTATTTTTTATTAGAGCATCGTACTTTCAAAAATTCACCCTTTATAGCATTAAGTAATCTTTTAAATTAAATTTACTCATCATACCAGGTTTATTTGTCACTCCATCGTCGATGTAGGATGTCTACATGTACGATAATGCTGACATGACATTTCTTATTATAGTATTGTACTTCCAAAATTACTTTATTATAACATCACCAATTTCTATTACAGCATTGTACTTTTTATTTTAGTATTTTTATCATTTGAACATTGTAAATTACTTTATTATAACATCTCCACCTCGGCAACTTCATCTGAATCATCGTCCTCTTCTAGCTCGTCCGCTGTGGTCACTCGGTCGTCGTAATCGTTGGCGGCACCATTGGTCGCATAGGCGAACTATCCGGTTTTAAAGTGCAACATGCAGAAAAACCTTCAACCTATAACTAGTTTTAAAGTGCATAAAATGCTAAAGCGGTCCAATCTCTAGTGTAGGTAACTAGTCATCATCCTTTACACGGAGTACCTCAGTACCACCATCAATGGCACCATCCAAAAAATCTTTTAATTCTTCGATACTTCCAAACAAGTAACGAGATTCAAAGTCACTATCCAAGTTACACCAAACCCCGTTAATCCTTCTTAGGGAAACCCAATGTCTGCTCCTCCAAAACCCACCGTTCCTTTTCACATGAATATTTAGCACAATTCCCGTTAATTTATCTTCAGATTCATCAAGATGAATCGAATAAGCTCGATTATGCCAATCATGCCAAACGACTCGATTCCCATTTCCTTCCACCACACACATCAACACGTTTATATCATAGTTACCTGTTAGTGAATTATGACGAGGCTTGAGGATAACCGAAAAGGGTGTCCAATTGCCTTTGTACGAATCTTATAGGACAAGTTTTTCAGCTATATCGTCCAAATCTTTTCGTGTAAATGCATGCTTCTCCTAGAAAGATTGTTGATCGAGTGTAGCAGGCAAAAATTGTAACTTCTGCCTTTCATGATATATCTGTTTCTTTTCGTCCGCCATGAATTCTTTTGTAGCTGGTGTAAATATGGGGTTTTACCATGAGGATTTCGATAGAGAGAAAGGCAAAAATGCCATGAGAATACAAGTTCCTTTTTCTTTTAAATGACATGTAAGCTATCCTATGTGTAACAGGTTATCTTATGTGGCTTCCATGGCGTTTTAAGTTTGACAGGTCAACAAAGAAAAACATGTTCAAAAGGTAACATGTTACCCAATGCTATAACATATTTATTTTTGAAAGTACGACGTCGTAATAAAAAAATATTTTGAAAGTACGTTGCTGTAATAACAAAATATGAAAGTAAAATGCTATATAATAAAATTTGTAAAAGCAGGTTGTTATTTTGTGCATTTTGCCCTATTTCTTAATGTTGTTAGTATTATTGAAGACCTTTTATGTACATGCATCTATTGTTAATAATAATGTGAAACTGATAATGCTTTGATAAGTTGAAGACTTATTTGATGTGGTTTTGATGTGATAATGTTGTGATCAATTGAAACCCAACAATGATCACATCAAAAATCATCAGCTCTGGCTGTTAATTATGTGATTTGCAGTTTTTTCCACATTTCTACCATGCATATTTCTGATATTCCTACAAAAAGTAAATATTTATTTATATTTATCTGCTCTCTGAATTCGTTCTAAAACCATGACCTAAAACAAAATGGTAAAGTTATAAGTGTTCGAACTTTTGTGTAAATCACAAGTGTTCTTATTTGCACCATTCTTATGCATTTAATATTATCTAATTTTGGCGAAGAATTGTGAGAAACATATGAAGATATTTGAACCTTTAATAACTTTTAGGGTGTGTTTTGGTGTCCAGACATGACAGGATATGACATGATAGAACAACTGTTCAATGTTTGGTAATGATAAAACTGGACATAACAAAACAAGTAAAATGATCAATTTACTCATAATGAATTGTTTATTTTAATTACTTTATGTTATCTATTAAATTATAATAGAGTAATTGTTTCTTATAACAAAATATATTATTTCAAAGTTTTCATCAAAACAATTAAAATGACACCAAATAAAAAGTTTATATAGTTTCTAATTTTTTATATTATTTATTATTATTAATATATTATAAACTACTTAAATTGATGAAAAAAAATTATAAAAACCGTATAAAAAAATATTTCGAAGACACTAAAATGAAAGTTCAAGAAATATAAAATACAATAAATAAAATTTAAAGAATGAATAAATTGTAAAAATGAGACCTATTTGATGTTTTAAAAGAGAATTTAAGTTTTATTTTGAGGTTATATTGATAAAATATAAGTATATTCCACATTGTTCCATGTGGTAGAGGTGAAACAAGCTTGTTTCACTATGTTTTTGTATATTCCACGTAAAAATAATGTCAAACATGAGACATGGATCGCTGTTAGTACTGTCCAATGTATCAAACGCACTCTTAATCTAATGTCCAAACCCATGAATTGCGTTTTATAAAGTAATTGATCTGGTGCATCTCATTAATGTTGACATTCAATTAAGATTTATCCATAAACGAAGATCTCTTGTTACCCTTCTAACGATAACTTTCTTTCTTATCAAACCTCAACCCTATCTAACTATATATCTAAATGTCTTAAAATATAATTACCAAAATAAAAAACATACATCTTTATGTAATTAACCAAAAAATTAATCTAAAACATAATTATATCGTAATAAGTGTCATTTTCCTGCATAAATAAGACAAAATTACACACACACACATATATATACATACATATATATAGATATATATATATATATATATATATATATATATGTTTGCAATATTTAAATGTGAAAATGAATTCGAGTAAATCTATGAATTACAGAAAAAAAATCAATCAAAAAGAAACCCTTTTCGTACCTCTCCCCCACTCTTCGATTTCATTTCATCTCATCTTCTTCCTCAAATTTCCCAACTTAGTTGCAGAAACCCTCCCATGGCTTCTCAACCCACAAAACCCATCTTCTTCCTCCTCGTTATCTTCCTCTTCTCTCCATCTTCTTCATTTGCAGGTCTCACAGATTTCATGTATAAAGGTTGTGCTAACCAAAAATTCCAAGACCCATCTGGAATCTCATCGCAAAACCTCAAATCCCTTTACACCACCCTCATATCTCAATCCTCCACCACCAATTTCTACAAAACCACCGTCGGCGGAAATGACTCATCATCAACAACCGCCATCACCGGCCTTTACCAGTGCCGTGGAGACTTATCCAACACCGACTGCAACACCTGCGTGAATAAAATCCCAGAAACCATCGGGAAACTCTGCGGCGGCGATACAATCGCCGCCCGTGTCCAGCTCGACGGATGTTATTTGAGATACGAAGTTGTCGGATTCCCACCGGCGACGGCGACGGACGTGCTGTTTAAACAGTGCGGGTCGAATCGGGCGAGCGGGTCTGGGTTCGATGACCGGTTGGAATCGGCGTTGTCGCAAATCGAGAAAGGGGTTGTTACCGGAAAAGGGTATTACGCTGGCGAGTATCAGTCGGTGTACGTTTTGGGACAGTGTGAAGGCGATTTAGGAAATGGGGAGTGTGTGAACTGTGTGAAAACTGCGGCGGAGAACGGCCGGAGTTCGTGTGGAAGTTCAATTTCCGGCCGCATTTATCTTCAGCAATGTTACATCAGCTATACATATTACCCAAACGGCGTTCCCGGCTCAGGTAACCATCATCTCCGACATAATCGCATGCATCATCGCCATCTTTTCATTTCGCTACTGAATTTGAAAGCGATTGAAATCGAATTGTATCAATGAACACTTTTAATTAGAAGTGAGATTTACGATTTTTGATTTATGGGTTGTAATATTTGTCTTTTTGTTTTGAGTTTTAGTGATAAGTTTTGTGGGTTTGGTGTGTGGACAGGGACGGGAGGTGGTGGTGGTGGGATAGCGACAGGGGCGACGGAGACAGGCGGTGGTGGGCGGCGGCATGATACGCAGAAGCTGGTGGCGATTGTGATCGGAGGGTTGGCCGGATTATTTCTGGGAATAGCCTTTTTAATGGTTTTGAGATCAGCTTTCAAGAAGAAGAAAGAAAAGTACTCCTATGGAGGTTGGTCTCTCTATCTCTCTCTCTTCTTTACACATTCCTCTGCCAGATTTGACACCAAAATATTTGTTTTCATTAAATTATTTTATTTATATTTTATATTATACAACTCATTCTATATTAATCTTTTTAATTTATACTATATTATAAATTATTTGATAAAAAAACTATTAAAAATGATTTTTTCATACATAAATTATTATTTATTGATGCATATTACTTAAAATTAGAAGGGTATTCATATAATGCATCGAGATACATTTTTATTTCAATATTTTATTTTATTTTTTATTCATGACGATATAAAACAATTTTATGTGTTTTTGAGAAATCAATAATGTTTTTATTTTTAAATAAAAAATAAATTTCAAAATATCATATAAAATTTGCACAAAATATATCAATATTAGTACAAATAATCCAATTAAAAGTTCTTGTTTGTTTATTTTTTTAATTCAAAATTTTTATTATAATTTAATTTAACGTAACAAATTAACTTAATTTAGGTTTAATAATATTTTTTATAAAGATAATAATTAAGTATTCTGTTAGAATTCAATAGTTATCATAATTATATTTTAGATTTTTATATTTTAAAATGAGATGTTTATCCTCTATTTGATTATGTTTATTCGCAGTTATTTACACGAATTCAAACATATAACTTTAATAAGTCGTACTTATATACAATTTATTTATAATCTTGAATTTAAAGTAATATACATTAATAAACAATACTTTATGCATTAGAAAATGTTTTTAAGAGTTTTTGTTAAATGCTTTATAATATAGTATATCTTCAAGATTACAAATAATTTTGTATCAGTACAATTTATTAAAACTTCATTTTTAAATTTGTGTAACTAATTGCAGATAAACATAATTAAATACAAGATAAACATTCATTTTAAATATAGAAAATCTAAAATATAACTAAGATAATTATTGAGTTCTAACAAAATATTTAATTATTATCTTTATAAAAAATTATACTATTAAACCAAAAATAAATTACTTTGTTATTAAATTTGAATTAAATTATAATAAAATCATTGTCGTATTTCTCAAAAGCACATACAATCGTATTATATTGATAGAGATAAAATAATAAAACTAAACATTCAAATCGAGATTTATTTCGCTACATTGCGTCAATACCCTTCCAATTTAAGTAAACTACAAAATTGGTCATATGGTTTGTGGTCCTTATGGTTTTGAAATTACAATTTTCACCCCTATGGTTTATAATTTATTATATTTTTCGTTCTTATGATTTAAAATCCATTGCTTTTTTCGTCCTTATGGTTTACAATTTATTTATATTTTAATCCTTAATATTTAAATGTGGTATTTTGAACTCAAGAACAAAAATAGAAATGAATTACAAACCATCAGATGAAAACCAAAATTTTAAAACCACATACAAGAAATCATCAAATATTAACAAACCATAGGGACTAAAAACGTAATTTATTCTAATTATAATTTTGTTTTAAAATAAAAAAAAATGTCTAAATAGCAACCTATTTTGAATATTGAGAATCATTGGTATATCCAACTCTGTCCTAAAATAAATGACAATATTCTCAACTCATTTTATAGTCGTTTTTCTGCATAATTTATCGAAATAGAAAAGATTATGTAATCAGTATTTTAACAACCTGAGAAATCCACTTTCTATGAATACAGTATTATGAAGCTGTTATTTCATAAGCTGTTAAAGTAATAATTGTGAAATGCTGACTTGGTAATTGTTAAACTGTTACTTGTCACGTCATTATTTCATAACTTATGAATATTAAATTGATAAAAAGTAGATTTCACAATTCGTTGAGGTGATACTTGTGAAATCTCATACTATTTCAGTTATTGAATATAACAGTGGCTATTTTGAACAGTTTCTCCAATAATTGTAATTATATTGCGTACAGGCGATATTGAAACTGTCATTTTCAGTGGTATCACTGCTGTCTTTTATCAGTATATTTTTTAAATAAGAATTAAACTAAATTATATTATTTTTTTCCGTCTTATTAAAAGGTGTTTTAAAAGCTAATGCTTTTTTGTGCCAAAAGAAGATGAGTATTAAACTATGTACCAATTTTACATTTGGCACGTGGGTTTCCTCAATTTTGTTAGTTTTTTTTTGGGTACTTGGTTTTTAATTAAATATTTTAATTTTTTATTATTAACCTAAATATATCCAATCTGCTATGGAAGTCGACTGGTGATGATCACTCGCTTTGCGGGTAGTTTGGAGTCACCATGGTAAATTGTTGCATACGATATCATTTTAGTGGATTAAACTCTTACCCGGTAAGTAAATTATAGTGTTAAATTTTACCGATAAGCGCTTACTAGGTAAGTGTTTGGTAAACGGCCCCTAGGTGATAATCCCCATCCCCTTTTGGGATTCATAAATTCTGGGATATGGATCAATAAGAACGATTTGGAGAGATTGGACAGGTTAGTATAAACACATATCGAAGACGGTTTGAGGATTAGATAAACGTGTACGTATAAGAGACTTTCCGGGGTGTGGATTAGGATTAGAGCGGAGGCTGTTATTGAACGTGTACCAAAGCAAGTATAAGTTGTATTCTTGAATCTTAAGTAAAATGCAGTAATTGGCGATACTTTATGCATCCAAATATGTTTTTAAGAGTTTTAGTTAAATGTTTTATAATACAGTATAGATAAAGTATATGACTTGGGATTACGTGAGAACAAGTTGTTTTCGTAAGACACGTGAGACAACTTTTTGCTCTTGAAACTTCACAACAAAACGCTCTGAAGGTAAGTTTTACCTTCAGAGCGTTTTGTTGTGAAGTTTCAAGTATAAAAAAATTGTCTCATGAAAACAGTCTGGTCTGGTCTCACGTGAACTTAATCCTAAAATATATTATTATGTATGTATTAAAGTGTGTGGGTTTGTTTTAATGATGTAGGTTACTGAAAAAGGACAAGATAATGGTGAATTATTATTGGAGCTCTCGTAGTGGAGGTTGTAAAGACAAAACACACTTGGTTTTACTTTTTTATTTTTTTTATTTTTATTTTGAAATATTATTATTATTTATGTAAGTTTTATTTTAAGGTGAAAAGTGTAAGAAGGGATCTGAACTCTTAATCACCTTTAATCTCTAACCCATACATGATACGCGCTTAATTTGGGAATTAATCTGGTACATCTTATCTTAATGTGCATCTAAAGGTAAGGGTGGGTTTACAAGTGCATAAAGTTGGTACCAAATATTTGCAATAGGGTTTATATTTGTAATTTTGTTTCGAGCAAAAGAATGTGGAAAATCGATTCATTAGTGGGGTCCATGTTTATCTTCAAATAAAACAGTTTGACCAATTAAGGTTAGATTCATACGAGACAGACATGTTCTCGTAAGATCCTTGAGAACATGACATAATACTGAAATTTTACAGTAAAAAATTATGAAGGTACGAGAAATATCGAAACTTCACAGCAAAGATACTAACAGTTTTTGTTGTGAATGTTCAGTTTTATTTATATGGTCTCATAAGTCTCGCGAAAGCAACCAAAGGGCCATTGGCCTAACGGTATGTGAGTCTTTAGCCTCCTAGAAGGTCAGAGATTCAAAACTCACTAAATGTGAGGAGGGTGTGTGAGTTTTTCTGTTCCATTTACCATATATAAATATTATATACTTCAAAAAAAGTCTCGTGAAAGCAGGTTGGTCTTACATGATCTCTAGAAGGTCAGAGATTCTTTTGTTTCGTATGTTTTCTTGTAAACGTGGGTTTTACATATGGCACTAATAGGAAAATTGTGAATTGCGGATTTCCTTTAGCAATTTGGCTGGTCATTTTGTGCAATATAAAAAAAAAGGAAAATACATAATTTTTAATTCATGTTTTTGAATGGGAGATAAATGAAAATAGATAGGGTTGGGTTCGTGTAAGACAATGTTGTTTTCGTGAGACATATGAGACATGATTTCCACACTTGAAACTTTACAATAAAATGTTGTGGATGTAAAAGAAATTTGAATCTTCATCAGCAAAACACATTGTGTTTTGCTGTGAAGTTTGAAGTATAAAAATCGTGTCTCACGAAAACAATATTGTCTCACATGATCCCAAGTCAAATAAATATGTTTGTGTTTTGCTGTAAAGTTTGAAGTGTAAAAATCATGTCTCACGAAAACAGACTTGTCCCACATGATCCCAAGTCAAATAAATATGTTATTTTTATAAATATTATCTTGTTTGTTTTATGACATATTGTAATTGATGGGTAGATCTATAAATATTTTAATTGTTATTTTTATTTTCTTTCATTTACGTCCCACACGATTCTCCTTATTTTATTTTTGTTTCGATTTCCTTCATAAAAAAAAAACTCGAAAGCACGGGATTTCCCCCCCGTTACCTTCCTTCCCTTTTCTCTCGTTAAAAACACTCGTGAAGACAATGTTAAGTTGTCGAATGTTATATAAAGCAGATTTATGTAAATTAGAAGTGTAGATACAAACCAAAGAGTCTTTGGCCTAACGGTATGTGATTAGCCTTGTAGGAGGTTAATGGTTCAAACTTCACCAAAGGTGAAGAGGGTGTGTGAATTTATTTATTCTATTTGTCGTATATAAATATTATATGCTTCAAAAAAATGTAGATACAATATATATCTAACATTCAATACCTAAATTTTGAGCAAAAAGTTTATCACCGACCTCAATTGGCCCCAAGCCACACACTTATATGAGGTGCATTTTTTGGCTCACTATGTGGCACGACTTGAACACCTGAACTACAATATTTTTTTTTTTGAAGAATGTAATATTTATTACATAACAAAATTCACAGTCACCTTTCACATTTTGTGAGACTGAAGCCTCTATCTATTTGAGATATATCAGTAATCCGAATGCCGCTAGATCATTGAGATTCTTATGGTTTCTGGTTGGTGTCAAAAACCTCTGCGAAAGTATTGGCCGTGTGTGCACGGACGGACCTATATTAGGTCATACAGTGGCACGTGCCACCGTATTATTCTTCTGTCGAAAGTTAAAAAGTTTAGGCTCGTGAAAGGAGCAACCGTATTAGTTTGTTGTGTGCCGCCGTATCTATTTGGAAACTACAATGTAAACAAAGTTTTATTTAGTAGAGTTGATTTGCAAAGATTTTATTCTACCCCAGACCCAAATTCGAAGTCTGGTAGTGTCATTTTCCTGAACAAATGATGCTATCGTTTGAAAAAAATTCCGTATATTTTTTCTTATGGTCAAACGGTGTCACCGTTTAAAAAAAATTTCCTATATTTTTTTCTTATAGTCAAATGGTGTCATCGTTTGAAAAAATTTCTAGATTCGTCCTGCATATGTGGTGGTTGCCATGGTGGCCGGCCGGCAGCTTTTGTAACCATCGGAGGTCTTGAGCTCTTATGCCTTTAAGCCCAAGTCATATCTATGGCACATGCATGCAGAAAGAATCAATTCATCTTGCCTTCTAAGTCAAGCAATCAACAATAAACCTCTATATGTATATATGTGTGTATATATGTATATATATATGTGTATATATATGCCATTTATTCCATCTTCACCTTCCTTTATATGATCTTCTCTGCAAAACCGAAGTTCCATCTTCGATTTATTTGAAACTCGAAGGAAGCAAGAAGCTCGATCGATTGATCATCAATCAAGTAAGTTCTTGTGATTATTGTTTTTTTAGTTGTTACTAGAAGGGTACTCGCGTAATGTAACGATATACATCTCGGTTTTAATGTTTCGTTTTATTCTGTCCCCTGTCGATGTTATAATAGGTTTTATGTGGTTTTCAGATTAACGATAATGTTTTTATTTTTGAATAAAATATAAATTTAAAGATATCTTCAAATTTTAAAGGAAATATATCGATATTAGTATTAAATTAACTATTTAAAAGTTATTGTTTTGTTGTGTAATTTTGTTAAATCAATTTCTTTATTATTATAATTTAATTTAGGTTTAATAACGGAATAATTTATTTTTGATTTAATGATATGTTTTTTATAAAGATAATAATTAAGTATCATGTTAGAGCACAATGATTATCCTCATTATATTTTAGATTTTTATATTTAAATGAAATGTTTATCCAATATTTGATTATGTTTATCTGCAGTTACTTACACGGATTCAAGCATAAAGCTTTAATAAGTTGTACTTATGCATTATTTACTTTTAATCTTAAATTTTAAGTAATATGTATCAATAAATAATATTTTATGTATAAAAAATGATTTTTAAGAGTTTTTGTCAAATGTTTTATAATATAGTTTTAGATATGATCGAAATATATCATATTTGTATTCTCATCTTATCTGGTATTTCAATTAACACCTTATATATGTCTGACACGACCAGATAGAAAAATCCACCTCGTTATCATCATTATCCCTCATAATCAATTCGCTAAAAATACGTATAGATTTTGAACATCCGGGTTTGTGTTTTTCTTTGTAAATAAGTGTATCCAAAGGTGCCCGTTGAAGAACAAGTACTAAAAGACCGTGATGCCGATACATTTCCTCCTTTCAAATCTCTTGGTACGTCTTTATCCTGCATTTGGCTACCATTTGTTGATTTACTCGTCTTTTGGTTGCCATTTAATAGGTTTCAGACTGCTTATACTTAAAATATACTGATTAATATATCTTGGAACGTCTATTTTTTAACCGATGGCTATTTTGGAAAGTATTCTAATGGTTCCATATATTCTTAAGCGTATTTTTCACCATATCTTCGTATTATTTGATGTTTAACTCGTACAATACAACCGGCAATATAATTGTAGGTCTCCGTTACCTCATTCGTTCAGAGGCAGAAAATGCAGCCGTCAATGAATCCAATGCAAAACCGAGACGAATTTGTGTGTCAGCAATGCCTGCTACTTCCATGGCAAAAGGTTTGATGTACAATTCCTTATAAGGTATTTCTAAACGCTCATACAGTATTAAGTACATCTTGCTGATTTAATTTCAGAGTCAAATCATATCAAGAATCGTCAAACTAAGGACGTTGATCGTGTAATTCAACGCCCTCGTGCAGTATTATCTAGTCCTGGTATGACTATTGTCCCTCGACTATACAAACAGTAGGATCTGAGCGCCACCATTTTACAATACATTGGTCGACAACAGTTAATTTATCAGCTAATTTGCGAAGCATGGCCAAAATGGTAAAACCTGTGTTGATTACACATACTCAATGGAGCATGATCCGTTGCTAATTTTGGCCATACGTTTCTCGCTTGCTACTTTGTGTGTTGGACAACGAAACTTGATTGATAGATGTGTGACAATTATTTGTGTTGATAATTAAGGGGTTGCAAAATTGAACATTTTATTGCGGTTTTTTTAGGGTGGTTTTATGCTCGTTTGTTTTGCAGACAATGACTATTTGATCGGAAAGATGAACAAGATGGCTTTCAAACGGATTTCAACTCCAAAAACGCCTGCTTCTGAAAGAGTTGATACAGATCATATCGAAGTAGAGATTGCACGTATAAGGGTCCGTGGCACAAGCCCGACATTGGACACACGAACTCGTCCTAGAGTAAAAAACTATGACAGATCATCGGTTTTAAGTGATAAAATATGTACCAGAAAATTGAAACCCTAATTCAAGAGACCTGTTGCCTAATGAACCTAGTCTGATTGCTTGCAAATCATCATCGAATGTTATGAAATCATTTGAACAATTGATTTCGGGTTTTGATCAAAGCTTTTTTTTTTCCTTCGTATTTTCTCGTTTTCAAATATCATATTATATGGGTTTCTTGGTCCCTGTTGTTTGTTATTTGCAACACTTTTGGTCCTTGCAGTTTTGAAGTTATAAAATTGCCATTCTGGTATGAGAAAATGACCGGATTTGGTTCATCTTTCTAACGGTTGTTAGAAGAACCCGTTAAGTCAAGGATATTTTAGACTTTTCAAGTTTTTTTTTTAATTTATAATTAATTACAACCAAGCACCGATCATCCTCTTCGCCCGAGTACACCTCAAAATCAAAATCAGTTTCAACTCCTAAACTTCACATCCTAACAAAAATAGAGGAGTTCAATTTCAATAGATATATCGAAGGTAAGGTTCTTGCAAACGAGCTTCGCCTAAGGGGGTGTTTGGGACTGCTTATTTAAAATAACTTATGCTTTTTGTAAAAGTGCTTATTAAATTATGTGGTATCAAACCGGAGTTAATAAAACAGAGTTAAAATTGTAAACTTGTAATAAGTCATGAAAGATTAACTTATCAAAAACAGCTTATTACCGGTTTGGTACCGGTATAAGCAGTTTTTGTTTTTCTTATCCAAACATCAGAAAACAGCTTATCACCGGTGCCAGACTGAAATAAGTTACATAAGATACAAATGGAGGTTATGCACCTGTGTCTGCACCTACAACCATCGAAGGCAGTCATCGACCAGTGTCTGCACCTCCATCCTCAAACCATTTCACTGTCGATTAAGACCAAAAAACATCCATTTTATCAATTTCTCTCTGTAACCACAACCCCTCCTCTCAAATCACCCATCTCCTCTTTTTTACCGCTGCAAATCATCCCTCCCTCTCTTAGGGGAATAAGAAGATGAAGGGGTGGGGAGCCGAAGATGGTACGTGGTGGGTTTAGGAGTCGATTTTCAGTAGTAGGAAAGGAGATGAAGAAACAGAGAGAAATGGAGAGGAAAGTCGCCGGTGTGGGATTTCGAGATGGTTGCAGATTTTTTTTTCCCGGGGGCGAGGGGATTCATCGGAGAAGGGGTTCGGGAAAGGGGTGAGGTATATATTAATTAATTTACAATTTTGGCCCCCCTATTTTCATAATTAAGTTACAATTTTAGTCCCTATAATTTACATATTTATTTGTTTTTTTAAAGAAAAACGTGATTAAAAGTAGAAAAAGACCAAACTACCTTTCACTTGAGACCAAATCCGATTGTTTTAGCACACCACAATGAACTTGTAATTTCAAAACTACAGGGACCAAAATTGTTACAAATAACAAACCATAGGGACCAAATTTGTAGTTTACTCTAATTTTATCTATGTTAACCGACCATTGTCGCATAAGACTCTGTAACACGTGTATTCAATTTTGCTTTTTAACACAACATTATCGTTATAGAAATTATGAAACAGTTGGAAATGTGTAATTTAAATACATGGTTACTTTTAGAAACTTCATTTAAAGAACGTAATTGACATTAAATGCAATTAATAAAAACATATCAAGACTTTGAGAATAAAAAAACGAACCTACATCAGAATATCTTCAACAAAATTTTGAAATAAAGGAGTAAAATTTAAAATATCCGAAACAAATTAAATCCAACTCCAACTATTTTATTTGTTTTAAAATTTCTAATATTAATCATAGCATAAAAACAAAAAATAAACAGATATGGAATCTGTAATTGTAAACCAATATCGAAAAAACTGCAAATTTGGTCCATATGGTTTGTCAAAAACGACATTTTTCATCCTTGTGAGTTTGAATATACAAGATAACCATCGTGGTTTATAAAAACGTTCGAATTTTAAAAAGGTTTTAAATATTTAATTAGAAAAACTGTTTTAAATTCAAGCAATAAAGAGATGGCATTATAAATAAAGGTTTACTAGTTATTTATAACACAAAATATTTAAAGAGATACAGAATTAAGAGTATTATTAATTGGAAAAAAAAAGATTATCAGAAATACATTAGAACGAGCATAAATTGCGCATATGCCCGTTTGTGCACCACTAATCTTTATGGTTATATTTACAACTAATTTGGACGAAAATGCTGATTACCGGCGATGTTAATCAGTTCTATACAGAATTCGCCTTCAAGAACAACAATGTGAGAAAACACTTGTTAACTCACTCAACGGGTGTCTGAGATTGAATCTGCTAATGATCTTGTATTTGGACGGAGTCGTTGCCAACTGAACTACACCGTATAGGCTATTTTGACAACTAATTACAAGTTTGAATATCCATACATCGTCTGCAAAAACAATAAGAAACCCATATTAAGACTGACATCGTTAACTCTTGTGCACTTGTCTATCATACCGTGGGATGAATTTTTAATTTTTAATTGATAAATCGCATGTGATTTACTACTAGGGGCAGTGGCGGATTCATATTTTTTGGCTGGTGGAGGCACCTTTAAGGTAGAATAAAGGCTCGCAAAGTCGTTAGTGTTTTTGTCGATTTCGAACGACTTTTTTGATTTTGATTGATTTCAATAGACTTTTTTGGTTTTTTAATTGATTTCCAGTTTTGCGGGCCCTTACAAAAATCAGGGGGGTAGAAGGTAAAAGTTGTAACGTTTTTATTTTTAACCCTTGTAAATTTTTTACATTTTTTAACCAGGTCCCATTCCTCTTTCCCACTTACCGTGTAAGTCCACCTCATACTATGGGTGTTTATGAGTCAGGTTGATCGGGTTGAACGCATTTGAACAACCCAAAGACACATGAAAACTTAATCGTGCAATGACTAGTCAAGGCGACCCTTTTGGATGTATTAAATCACATGTGATACGAGTCATATTGCATTTATAATGTTGATCGCCTTGTCGTTTGAACGTGTCTCCCGATATATATATATATATATATATATATATTCAAAGTTTATTTTCATTTTAACATATGTATCATTGACCATCAAACGATATCACAATAATTTTTGCAATTAAAAATTGTGTTCGGTTTTCGTGTTGGAGGCTCGTAGGTGAAAAAGCTGTTGCATTGAGAGCATGGTTGTCTATAAGGGTGCGTTTGGTACTCATACAGAACAACTGTTCAACATTTGGTAAGATTTATTGGACATAACAATACTGATAAAATGATTAATTTACTTCTGATGAGTTATTTACATTTTTATTGATTTATGTAATGTATTAAGTTATAACAAAATAAATATTTTTTATTACAAAATATGTCGTTAAAAAGTTTTCGTCAAGATGGTTAAGATGTTACCAAAATATGAAGTCGATTAATTTCCAAATTTTATTTTATACATTTTATATATCATTCATTATTATTAAAATTTAATAAATAACATAAATTAACAAAAATATAGAAAATGTATAAAAATAATATTATAAGGACGACAAAGTGAAAGTTTATAGAATATAAATACAATGAATGCAATTTAAAGAATGAATAAAATGTAAAGAGGAAAACACATTCGAGGTTTTAGAAGGTAATTAAATTATATTTTAAGGGTATATTGGTAAAATATAGATTTGTTCTATATTGATCCATGCACTTCATTTCACCACGTTCATGTTTATTCCATATAAAATTCATATCAAACATGAAACAATGATCCTAATTATGTTTTATCATGTCTTGTTCATCGTACAAAACATAGCCTAAGGAATGCGATTGAATAAAACCATGACAACCGAAGTCTATGTCTTGAAATCTTGACGTTCAAAAGTTTTGTTTACCTCTTAATATTTCTATTAAAAGACATCATCAAAATCGTTAAGTGGTGAATCTTGTTTAGTAAAAAAAGTCCGTTTCTTAATGGTTATAAATCATCTGAATGATTTGTATCATAAGTTTCTCTTAACCATTCAGTGCCATAATTTTATTGGTAGTCCACTACTTTGAATTCAACTTAAAAACATGATAAAAATTATTGGTAGTCCACTACTTGAGACTTATAAGGAGTTAACAATTCTCACATTCTATCAATGTGGGACGAGTTGTTACAAACTGCGAAACAAACCTAAGTATATGGTCATTGGAGCAAAGATAAAAGTTAATGGACTGTTTGTAACCTTTTTCATACTTTATGTACCAAAACTGAAAAAACTTAAAAGTTTATGGTCCAAATATAAATTATTCCCTCACCACCATCACCATTACAGCAATCTCCACCGTCCATTTCAATGACTAGATATCCAATCCAACAGTTGTGATACAATAAAACCCTTCCAAATTCCTAAACAGAAGTTTTGAAAATCACCCTCTCTTCCTCCATAGATCTCATCTTCTCTCTCTGAAACCCGCACACACTCGATACTCTCGACGACAACATCGCAATCTCCCTTCGAAATTTCCTTTTCTACGTCATTTGATAAGGAAAACGGAGAATTGTCCTTATCTGTGGTGCTTTCGCTCTTCAATTTTGTCTAGTTTGTGATCCTAGATGCTCGATTCACTGTCTTATATGTGTTCTCTCTGAAACCCTAGAAATACGTTGTTAATTTTGGGTTTTAGGGTTTTAAGGAACCAGGTTTTTGATCGGGTTGTGATAATGGCGAGTTCGTACTCATCCTCTGTTACCGCTTCGCAGGTGTTTACCTGTTTTATGTTATACGCTCAATTTTGAAAACATTAGAAAATGATATTGTTTGACTTATTTGTGTTTAATTGATCCTTGACGTTGATAAAATTTGTTTTTTTTTTTTAATTTCGTCAGGTTGGTTCGTACTTTGCTCAGCAGTACTATCAGGTTCTTCAACAACAGCCGGAATTTGTTCATCAGTTTTACACAGATTCAAGTACTATGGTTCGGGTTGATGGTGAATCGACCGAGACTGCTTCGGCTATATTTGTGAGTCTTTTTGACCTTACCATCTCTGGTTTTGGAATTTTGACTTGAATAAGAAGTCAACTTTTTATTCTGTACAATCGAATCTTAACTGCTCAATTTTGTTCCATGAATTTGTGTTTGTTCTTTTGTGGGTTATCTGCTATGTGTATGCTGTTTAATGTGATTTTTGGTGTATGATTGTATGATGCCTGCTATGAGCCAATTTGAATTGAAATCATACCATCTTATGATATGCATGTATTATTTGACCTAAAGATTAAAGCTTTGAAAGTCTGAGAAAGGCTTAATAATGTTTCAGATCTCCAGATTCAATGCTATATATAGGTGCATGTACCTCTATACACTATGCACCTATAATGAAATTGTAATCTTGTTTGAAGTTGAATAAGGTCATCTATTTGTCTTTTTTTTGTACATGATTATCAGAGAAAAGATGAAAGATTTTTTCTGATCAATGAATTTGCTTTTTTATTTGTCTTTATAAACGCATATACGGTAGTCAGGACTTGTGAGAATAACATCTGTATTTTGACCTCCATTGTAGCACTAGGGGGCTGTTTGGTTGGTTTTCCATTAAATCTAGTATGAGTGAAGTAGTATGTGTGGATTAATTAGGCTGTATATATTGGAAATGTTTTTGTTTGGGAGGGTTTTTTTCATAGACGGAAGGAGCAGGTTTTTATTTGGAGGGGAAGGTTTGGTATAAAGCTTGGCTTTCTGCATAAGCCACTTTATACCAAACAATCATGTATAGCTGACTGAATAAGCTGCAAGTCCTGTTCGCGTCGTTAAACTAATAATTTAATTATTCTAGCATACTTTGAGAAGCCCAAGTACTCAATTGATCCCAAATTTGATCATTCTTTGTAAAAGTACAAGTTTGCCAATTCATCATTATTAATTCCATAATGTTTATATGCTCTTTCATTCATCGATGTTATTTGAATATGAACACATGCGGACTTTAGTGCAATTTATTGTTTTGATTTAGTTGATTTTATAAGAATTGAAGACTTAAATGTACAATTTTTTCCCAGTAGTACATCTGTAAGCTTTTTTCATGTTTGTAACCTTTAAATTGTTAACAAATGGAATTTTTTTTGTTTTCTTGCAGCAAATTCATACACTTATTCAGTCATTACATTTTAGTGGGATTGATATCAAGACCATAAATTCTCTTGAATCATGGAGTGAAGGGATTGTTGTGGTGGTTTCTGGGTCTGTCAGATCGAAGTACTTCAGTGGTTGGAGGAAATTCGTTCAGACGTTTTTCCTCGCTCCCCAGGAGAAGGGTTACTTTGTCATGAATGATATCTTCCACTTTGTTAGTGAGGAGGTCATCAATCATCTTCCAGCACCCCTGGTCACTGGACACAAAGATGAGTTTCAACCAATTAATTCTACTTCTCCAGAGTTATTAGGTATCACATCTTAACTGGCCCTGCAAATACAAGTTATCTTTGTAAGGAATTCCTGCTTATATATATACTTTCTTGACTATAAAAGAAGCTAATGTAACTATATTTTATACATAGGGATTTCTTTTTAAGTTGTTTAGAGTCAATAGCTTAAGGTGATATTTTACATGGTGAGTGCTTTTGTTGGTTGTTTTTTTAAGAGGATACTTGTTCTTATCCTACAATGTTTTAAAGTAGTTCATTATACTGGATTTTCACTATTCGTTTGTACCTCACTTTGTAGCATTCTGAATATTTCATTTCATACATGTTTCACTGAACTTTCAATGTGTAGATATTTTTACTTGACCATGGAATGTGTTGTGATGTTTAAATTATTCAAGTTTTGTAACTTTTGTGACCAGAACTTTGGAATGCATCAACTTTTTGAAATTCTGCATTGTGACCAAAACTTTGGAATGCATCAACTTTTTGAAATTCTGCATCATTTGTATTTGTTTTTTAATGCTCTGGATGGTAAACATCTAATTCCAGTTGCTGAAGATCCATTGGAGACTGAAGCTAGAAAAAATCTTAATTCATTACACATAGAAGGTGAAGATCAAGCTGACTACTATGCTTCCCAAGAACACCAGCATCAGCAGCAGCAAGAAGATGATTATAGTGAAGAATATGAGGAAGAGCATCAAGTTGAAGAGCCTTCAGCTCATGTTCATAGTCAAGTGGACTATGTTCAAGAGCCTTTGCACCAAAATTCAGTTGACTATGTTCAAGAGCCTTTGCATCAGGACACAGTGGAATATGTGCAAGAACCATACGTTCAAGAACCATACGTTCAAGAACCATATGTTCAAAAACCATATGTTCAAGAGCCAATTGCAGCTGCTCCAGAGCCTGCTCCCGAGCCTGTGAAGTTCACTTATGCTTCCATTGTATGTAATTCTTTTGTTATTAAGGGTGCGTTTGGTAGGTAGGACAAAATGGGACATGACAGAACAGAACAAAAACTCGTTTGGCATGACAATTTGATTGGGACGAGACATGATAGAACTTTGTTTCACAAAAATGGACAAGATTAGTAAGTTTTGTAACTACCCATGTCAAATTAGAACTGTAAAACCTTTCACCATTCTTTCATAGCCTATCTCACTCTTGTCTGTCCAGTTTTGTCCGGTTCAGTCCAGTCTCGCAACCAAATGCTCTCTAAGAGTTGACATGATGTTTGTGCCATAGTTCTTTTCACTGGTAATATATAAAGTTATTTTCAGGATTTTTCTTTTGAATGTTAATAGTTTTCTTACCTTTTCTGTGCCTAATTTATTTTTCTTCTTTTTGCGATGAAAATGTTGAAATGTAGCTGCAATTGAAGGGAAAATCTGTGTCTTCAGTTCCTGCTCAGGCACCAGTTGTTAAAAGTGTTGCACCTGCACCAGAATGGCAAAAGCCACCTGAGCCAGTTGCTTCATTTGTGCCTGAAACTACCACTCATGTTGCCGAGGAAGCTTTAGCTAACGATGACGGTGAATACATCAACTCCTCTTTTCATTTCTTTCAGGTTTTTTATGGGCATGCTTGTGTGCATTTTGTTGTTGCGTTCTGCGTATCTGTATTGCATAATATATGTGCACACACAGTCGTATTTTCCAAAGTTAAGTGTACATGCTTCTCTTTCTTTGGCACACTTTTTACAAGCCTGGGGGCTTCATATTCAAGGAAACAACTGCTCTGTTATTTGAGATAAAGATGCACAAAAAAGCCCAAACCTGAAGCCTGGGACTAGTGGAACCAGTGAGCCTGGTCTTAACCAGCGGGCCGGGCCTTAAAGCCCAAACATGCCAAATTTTTTGAGGCAGACCCTGCTCGGAAAACCTAGACCTGAAAAAGCCTTGAAAGCCCAGTTAAGCATGAAAAAGCTCAAAAAAGCCCAATGGATTCTTTTTAAAACCCAAAACCTGGCCTGATCCAAAAAATCCCGGTCATTTATTTGCTCACTGAAAATGAGCTTGGAAGGCCTTGCCAGCCGGAAAAAGCCCGGGCGTTGTGCATCTTTACTTAGGTCAGGTATGTGGACATTTTCACCCTCCCCACAACCCACCTATGTGCAAACATAAAAGTTTGGCTCGTTTGATTCGGTTTATGTGCACGCATAAAAGTTGACTGTAACATCCAAGATCACATTTGCATATAAACATATATTTCTATATACATATATCATGAAATATAATTTACATAACTGGTCCCACTAATTACAAAAGTTATATTATAAAGTAACTACCAAAATTTTCCACAAAATTACTATACAACACTTGAATTCATAACAAGTACTAAGATACAAGCATATATATAACACTTCACAAATTTTCCTTCCTTTTATCCTCTGTTTGAGCACGACCTGTAATACACATTTTTAAAATACAAAAGGAGGAGGTCTAGTGAGAAATCCTTTTGATGCTTTTACAGGGTGAATAATCACCAAAACACATTTATAAACTCATATTTGTGATAATAACAAATATATATCGTTTTGATATAATGAACCTCATTTATCACATCAAAATAGCCAAATAGCTTGATAAACACATTTTGAGTAAACTTGGCGCATCATATGGATGATTATATAATTTCTTGCATCACATGGGTGAGACAACCCCATTTCCTCGCAACACACTGGTGTGTGGTCTTCAACTCATAACATCATATGGGTGCGATAAACTAACTTGTCGCATCACACTGCTGCGACAAACATAACCCCTCTTATCACATAGATGCGATAACAACTATTCATCAATAGGATGCGTTATCGCATCACACAGAGGCGACAACTCTTAAGTCATTGCATCATAAGGATGCGATAACATAGAACATTTTGATCAAAAACTCTTATTTTATAACTCAATGATTATGCCATCATTATCCTGGTTTACACATCCTAGATATGCCATCCTTATCCTAGTATACACCTCTCCTTGATATGCCACTCTTATTCCAACACATGATATAAACATATCAAAGTCTCACAATTATGACATCCAAAACAGTTTTATAACAACTACTCATATAAAGAACCATACGGTTCTAGGTCGAGTTCCAAATAAGGAAAGTTTGTAAAATTAAACTCACTTTATGGTTCACGTAGATGAAAATATGAAGATGAAATAGCAACAATTTCAATTAAGAAATCACAGAAACAGCTTATACTTTCTTCTCTTTTTGGTTCTGCTTTTGCTTTGGCTTTCTTTCCGCTGTTCAAAGAACACACACACACACACTTCCACCAACCTTTCTTTTTAAATATCATCCCAATATATTCATAAACAAACATATAAAGGTGGTGGCAGTTTTAGAAGTTTTTAAGCACATAAACAACTTAACCCCTTAACTTATCAACACTATGTCAACCCCAAGTTTTATAACTGAATAACCTGGTTATCACATTGACGATGAATAATTTTGCTTGTACATTATGCATCCCGTACTATTAACACTTGTCTACAATTTATGTTTTCAGGTGAATCGAAGTCTGTTTATGTGAGGAACTTGCCCACTTCCGTTACTAGTCTTGAAATTCTTCAAGAATTCAAGAACTTTGGGAGAATCAAGCAGGATGGTGTGTTCTTGAAGAACCGGAAGGTTGTTATCATCCTTTTAGTTTTACATAAACTTTGTATTTTTTCTTCGTCTGGAACTTAACATGCAAATGTGCAGGACGTCGGTGTTTGCTTCGCCTTCGTAGAGTTTGAGGATGTTGCTAGTGTTCAGAAGGCTATCGAGGTTTGTTTGATTCCTTCCTTCATGTGCTTTTAGTAACCACTGTACCATTGCAAATGTAATTGTTTCAATCGGTTGTGTTACACTGTCTTTAAATAAATACAACATTTGAGTAAACATATTCTTTTAACAGTTTGTTTGGTATGCGGGAGACAATAGGACAAAACATAACAAAAACTTGTCTCATTTTTCATGCGATATTAGTCTCAGTTTGCAAAATTGCATGTTTTTGTCCCACCAAAATAGGTGAATATAAAAATCAAGGAAGATGGGACAAGATTGGTAAATTACTAAACCATCCCTATCAAAATAAAAGTGCATATGTTTGTTTCACCAAGGTTGGTGGATATAAAAATCAAGAAAGATGAGACAAGATTGGTAAATTACTAAACTACCAATGTCAAAATAAAACCCTGCCTCACTTTTGGCCGTCCAAATATGTCTAGTTTTTTCTATTCCTGTCCCCATGTCAAACACATCTTTAAAGGAAACCATGTTTGAATGTTGTCTATGTTACTGTTGGAATTCTCCAAATCTATGAAGTATGATTTTATCTTTATAATTTTCAGGCATCCCCGATCCAGTTAGCTGGTAAGCAAATTTACATTGAAGAAAGGAGAGCAAACAGTAGCGGCAGTTCTCGTGGTGGAAGTACGTTCCTCACAATCCTCTTAATGACACAACATTCCCCTTGGTTTTCTGAAAGATAGATTGGTTATCTTTTGTTTTTGTGTTGTTTTAGTAATAATGTTTTACTTGCATAACCATACTTACAAAAATGGAGAAAACCATAATGGTTTGCAAGAATGATGTCATGTTTGGCAACTATAAGATAACGTATTTTTAAAGCTTATTGGAAAAGTCCTGCATGGTTACCCAAAAGCTAGTAGCAGGTTGGATATACAAGTTGATTACAAAAATCTAGTTTTTTTAAAATGCCTTTTTGAATAGCATTCCAATAAGCTCTAGCGGGTTCTTTTTCCCATTTTTGGACAAATGGTGAAAAAATGTACTTGCAAAAAGTAACCTTCGTATATTGCACTTTTGACTATTCAAATGTTGACTCTGTCAGCCACCAATATATCACTATCTACGTCAATCTCCAATGTCCTTATCCGAGTCGACCTTCAACCGAGTGAGACGGTTCTTACCTAAGCTATTTTTGTTTTTAAGCACTAGTTACAAAATACTTGGTAAACGACCATTTTAAGTTGGCACCCACCCAGACAATATCTCTTACCCAGACCGCTCTGTTACCTGGTTAGTGGTTAATCAATTTGTGTTGGTAAATGGCCCTCAATTTGCAAGAATATTGATTTGTTTCTTACTCGGACTGCACTTTTACTTTAATCGGTTAACGATTACCCAATTTGTGGTAGCAAACAGCCCTCAATTTGGAAGAATATCGATCTGTTCCCTAGGGGCAGTTTGGTTCTGCAAAACAAAGGTTAACTAATCTTGAGAGTGAGTCGGCTAGCATATTCTGCTTTCCATCTATATGCTCGATATCGATTACGCTGAAACTGCCTGTAATCGCGAATCTGATCTTCCTTAAGTTCCGTATGGATAAAGTTGACTATGGATTAATCTCTCTGTATAGAATGGGAAGGTTTTTGTTTGGGAGGGTTTTTTCATGTATGGAAGGAGCTTATTTTTTTGATTAGGAGGGGCGGGTTTGGATGAAACTGAGCTTCCTTGAGAAGCTTACTGGAAATGCCATTTTTATATCATTAAGCCACTTCCAAACAGTCATATATATAGCCGACTGGATAAGGTGTAAGTCCAATTAAGCTCATTGAGTTTCTAATAAACAGGACCCTTAACCTGACTGCATTTTTACTCGGTTAACGATAAACAGCCCTCAATTTGTAAGATTATCAATCTGTTTCTTACCCGGACCGCACTTTTGCTCGGTTAGCTATTACCCGATTTGCAACTGTTTGCAATTCGAAGTTGCGTATGATTGTTTGTTTAATGGTGGTTTGTGTTAGCAGGAGGAGGAAGAGGCGGAGGAAGAGGTAGAGGAAGCTACAATGATTCATCAAGAGGACGTTATGCCGGTGGTGCTAGGGGCAATGGATTCCGTAACGTTTAGAGGTCCGTTCACGTAGTTGATTATATTTTTGATTCGAAAACCAATGTTTGAGCTGTGATTTTGTACCCACTTTTGGGAACGTTATTTCCATCTTCGATTCATATCGAGAATTTTTTTCGGCTTTCTGTTTGTTTGCGGAATGAAATTTCAACGATTTCTATTGTTTCTTTTTGCGCCTGCGAATAACGCTTGATATAATGATTGTCACCACCGTGTCGTGCCTAGCTGCTGTTGGTTTACACCACCTCCATAACTCACTGGTCTTGGTTAACCTGACCTGCTCCTGGTTCGACCCGTCTAACCGGTGCTAGCCAGCCTATTGCGCTGGTTATTTATAACCAGACCTTGACCTGATTTGTAGCCGGCTAACCCGGGCTAGCCCAACCAATCTGGCTGGCTTCGAATCTGGTTGCTTACATCGGTTGGGTATTTTTTAGAAAATTATCGGGCCTCCTAAACCAATCAAGTACTTGGTTCTTCGCATATGGATTTCTTCAGATAATTTTAACGGGACATGTGGCAGCACCTGATTGGGTGTCGTATTTTTTTTGAGTGCTTCATTATAAATTTTCGTTTCGAGGTCTCATAATTTTCGAGTTTACAAGTGGATATGGATAAATTAAAGATGTATGCTTAATTTTTTATATTATGTCCCTTAAACGACTGTTCAGTGATAAAGGAGATCGAGGTGCAGACACATCTGAGGTTTTTTTGCTTAGAAACAACTATTCTTGTAACAGTGTAATAGATCATTGATCGAACGCTCTTACGCTGAAGATGAACGAGGTTACGTGATCTGGTGATGTGGTGGGATATAAAAATACATTGGTACCAGAGCGTTTTGCCTTAAAGTGAAGCACCTGCAAGAGCGGTAGCGGACAAAGCGTAGACGGATCAAACCAACTTCCACAACCAGAATATAATACAAAGTATTGAATAAACTTCATATTTGGACCATATGGTTAAGAAAAAGTTTTGAATTTGGTTGTTACTCTTCGTTTACACACTATTGATCGTTATGGTTCACAATTCGTTACAGATTAGGTTTATCTGGCTAACGCCATACGTGTATTTTTGAATTATAATATATGTATACGCCTGAATGGTTTGATCATTAAATAGGTACATGTGTGATTCAATGGCATTGGATAAGAGATTGATGTTCTAAAGTAGGTCACTCAAGTTGTGAAACATCATCTCTCTCTCTCTCTCCCTCGAACTCGACCAATCCAATTTCGGACCCTCTTTCTGTATGAAAATGGAAACCAAGTTGAAGAAATCAGATTCAAGAAATACCCAATTGCAAAAGTAGGGTAAACATGGAATCGATCTGAGGAAAGTTGAAGAAGTCAGATTCAAGAAATACCCAACTGCAAAAGTAGGGTAAACATGGAATCGGTTTGTCCTCAGGTGAAGATACGAGAAAAAGGGTTTTTGACATTCGGTTCAAGTTTTTGATTTGTATGTTGAGGTTTTCTTTTTGGATGAGTTTACGTGAAACAATTTATGTATTCAAACAATGAATTTTGAGTTCTTTATGTCGAGAAAGAAGACATGAAAATAATAAAGGATAAAAAGACAGTTTTGCCCTCATGTGCAATGCACGAGATGCTAGTTAACAAAGACTTTAGACATTTGTTGGGTGGAGGCACCAAATTCGTAACAAATTGCAAAACATGATGACCATTAGCATAATAAATGAAGTGCAGGGGCTCAATCCTAAATTTTACTTGACCACATGGACCAAATCTGTAATTTAGGGCCGTTTAGCCACAATTATCGGGTAAGTGCTTACCGACAAGAGTCACTATCTTCGTTTATTCAGATAACATTCTCGGCCAACAAGATGGATTGTTAGTAAAAGTCTTTTACTTAGTTGGGTTTTCTCAAATACAATATTGTTTTGTTGGTTTTTTATTAAGTCATGTATAAATAAAGTTGTCTGTGTGAATAAGTGACTGAATAAGGTCTGAATCCCATTAAACTAACAAACATATTGTCTTATCAGATAAGATTTTCGGTACTTGTCAAACTCATTTAGTTGAGTAACTGACAACCCATAGACACTTGCTCGATAATCTGGTAAACGGCCCGATACTCTAAAAATTATTTATAAGAAAATTACATTAATACGTATAGGCTAAAAATCGTATGAGAATGAGAGTTAAAATAAGAAATAAAAAAAAATATCTAGACGATTGATCACCTTTAATCTCAAAATACAAATCGTGATTGATACATAGATTTAATCCGATGCATTTCGATACATTTCAACAACCAACCCAATATGTATATATTTATACGTTACAAGGTTATAAACCATAAAATTTTCCCCAATATTCTCAAACCCGAAAAACTGAAGTCGACGGTTTGGCTTTACTAGGGTTTTGCATGAACAGCAGCTGAAAGAGATCAAGCATGATTGGGAGGAGGTTTATTTCATTTTTGAGGCGCAACCCTCTTCCTTCTAGGTATTACTTTGACGAATTTGTAATGTTCAATTGCAATTCATATGGAAATTGATAAAATGGTGGTTTGATTTGTTATTTTGTCAGCGGCAGCAGCTCGGCCAAAGTGGGGGTGGAGGAGGAAGCAAAACCGAAAGCATGGGGCCGGAGAATTGTTTCTGGCGGGTTGATTTGTGTCACCGGTGGGGTTGCTTTAAGCGCGCTTGATGACCTTGTCATTTATCATGGTTGTAGCAGGTAATCACTCGTGATGATTGACTCGTTTTCTTCTATTTAAGGAGCTACAAGATGGATTAGGATTTGAAACGAGTTATTTATATAGCTTCATGATTTATATGGAATTTTAATTGTTTGACAGAAAATTATGAACTAGTACAGAAGATGGATTAGAATAATGGGTGTCAGTTTATGATGAGATCCATATCATATTTGTGTTGGGAAATTGAAAATCATGAATCAGAAGGCGGATAAATTTATGGAAAGGAGAGAATGTCAGAATGCTATTTTTGCCTCCTAGAGCTGGTGTCTTATTTGATGGGAATGTTGTACATAAGACTGATTTGTATATGTTTTGGGTGTTGCATGCTGTTTTTGATTATTTTAGATGTGATAAATAGCTCTTTTGGGAAGTTTCAATAGAATGCAAATGACATAAACCAGCACGTACAAAAATGTTGTAGTTTCCTCCCCCTGTGAAAAACAGAATTCATTGCTGAACCATTCACTCATCTCATGATACTTTTCTAGGGCACCAGTGCACCATTAGTGGCTCGTAGCCTTTGCTTCTCAACTATGAAACTGTATCTTGATTGACAGATGTTCACTGTGATGTTGGGTGGAAATGCCGTCCACCAACAATGAAGATTTTGCACCTCTATTTGATCATTAAGCATAAAAAGCATTTATGATTCCCATCTACGTTCTCTCTTGCACACTTGTCTGCCCTCTCTAGTACGATTGTTATCCTTCTCTCTGGGAGTTGTTACTAAATAGGTAGAAGTAGAACCCAGAGGAGTCCAAACTTGTTAAAGGCTCAAGGCGCACTTAGGCGCAAAGGGGTCCCGGTGCCTAGGCACGAGGAGCAGGCGTGAGGCGCGGGGCTCAGGAATGCGAGGCGCATCTTATCAGTATATATATATATATATATATATATATATATATATATAGATATAGATATAGACACACACTCACACACACAGTTACACACAACAAGTGAACAAATCTCCAATTCAGCAACCAATAGAACTTCGATAGAGGCAGAAGGGTTTGAAGCTCTAAGGACTTGGTATTTAATATTAGGGTTTGACTTATGTCATCTATTTAATAACACTTTTTTTTTTTAAATCTAGGAGATGAGAAGACGAGAATACTTATTTAATCTTAGGGTTTAACCAGGTATTAATAACTCCTTATGAGGCGCACCTAGGCCCACAAGGCGCCTCAGCTAAGATGCAGTGCCTTAGTAAGCCTCGACTGAAAAAAGCCCAAGACCTTGAGCCTTATGAGCCTCAGAGTCTAGGCGCGCTTTTAACAACTATGGAGGAGTCTTATCTCATTTTTGTAGTCGGCAAAACAGTTTATCCTTGACGTTGTCCCTTTGGTTTTTCTATATGTTTAACAAGTGCCCATATGGTTGAAGAATATGATTTATTGTTTCCATGATTTAATTAAGGCTTGCAAAAACGGTGACTAACAGATACTTGGGATTCTTTAAATTTGGAACGGAACACTTAGATTGTTTACAATAGAAGAGACAAAGGAAACACCTATGACACTCTACTTAGTATTAGGAACAAATTAGCTATAAATTGGATAATGTCCATCTCCCAGAAAAAAAGATTTAAGGGAAAAAGTCCTAAGTGATCTGTATGATCAATCTAACAAGTTTGTTTATGTGATGTATGCTTCACAACATAACTAATTGATTTTTCTATCCAATGCAACTTTGGTCATGGAAAAATCCTGCTGTTTGAAAGTCACGTGGTTGAATTATATTACTTGATTCCATAGCGTTCATGCTACTTGGGATTAAGAAAATGTCATTCTGAATTGGAAGAGCAATGTAGATAGTTTCTTCGTCAAGTAATGAAATTGTTATTTGGCATGTGACCGCCTTTGTAAATTAAATTATTTTGCTGGAAGAAGGATGGATAGGAAGATCATGATGAAACATCACTGAGATAGCATTGGCTAATGCAATTTGGGTTGACCTCACTTGGCAGTTTTCTATGTTTTGCCTCTGTTGTCTTGTGGAAAATAGGTTTCTGGTCGTTTTGGTGGTGTGTTGTAAGGTAGATCATGTATCATCTAGACTTGCAAATAATCTTTGTGGTTCCAATCACAAGTACAACTGAGAGATATAGGATTCATAATTAAGCCTAGTTGCAGTACATGCATGGGATAAAATTTCACCTTCTAACTTACCGATCCTAATAACTCCCACAGTTTTGTTTATAAATGTTCATGAAATTTCTAAGATTTCCAAGTATGGATAGTAATATATTTTTGTGTGCATGGTATTGTCTTTTACCCTTCTATTTTGTTTGCATCATTGTTCTATGGTTTTTAACAGTGTTTTGAGGGAAGAGGGGTTGTTGCCTGATATCAAATTATAAAATGTGTAATTTGTAGAAAAGACTGCAAAAGCCAATTGCATAAGGAAGTGTCTGTTTATCTTTGTAGCTACTAGTTACATAATTCTTGCACAAGTTCAGCTGTTGTTGCTTTAACTTTTTTTAGCAAAGCCATGGAGAAAGCGAGCAAGAACCAGGCGGTTATAGATGCAATTGGGGAGCCAATTGCTAGAGGTCCTTGGTACAATGCATCACTTGCAGTGACTCACAAAAGGCATTCTGTCTCTTGCACTTTTCCTGTTTCTGGGCCCCAAGGCACCGGAATCTTTCAACTAAGGGCTGTTCGCAGCGGAGGTAGGAATCATTTCCGTTATACCAATATCTACGTAAATCATCATGTTTTTTTGCGACACTACAGTGAGCTTTAAACATTTAAATGGTTCCCAGATGTTCAGAGGTAGTAAATTGATGATTATACTTCGGGGTGTTCGCTGCGACCGCACCGCATGTGCGGTTTGAGCATTTTCCCAAACCGCAAACCTCATCGCGTGTATCTCAAACCGCAAAAAACCGCACCACATTTCGCGGTTTGTACATAACGCACTTTTCACCTACAATTCAATCATTGTAAGATTAAGACTTTATTATAAAATCAATGATAATGTGAGTCCAAACAAATAAAAAGTTCAAATACATTCGATTTCCAAATAAATATTACATAATTAAAAATAGCCTAAGAAAACTAAAAATATTACATAATTAAAAAGAGTCTAAGAAACCTAAAAATACTACATAATTAAAAATGTTCTAAAAAACTAAAAATATTACATAAATTCGCTTGATTGTTATATATAATTTAATTTAAATATATATATAATGTGCTGGGCAGTTTGAACCGTGGTTTGATAACTCAAAACTGCAAACCGCACCGCATAGTGCGGTTTGGTAAAAAAATGCAAACCTCAAACCACACCGCGGAAGTTCTAAACCTCGCTTTGGGTTGTGGTGTGGGAAGTTTGGATGAACACCCCTAAATATCCTTATGCCTCCAGTATGCAGTATTACTACTATTATTAGTCCTTTTTACTTTTTTTCTCTCTCAACTCTCCTAAACTCATTTTCTTGCTTTTATTGCGTTTCTTTTTCCTTCTTATCAAACTTTTGGAAGAATTTCATTTCACAATCGTTTTCTCATAATCTTTTTACAAGCCGGGGTATTATCTGAAACAACCTCTCTACTCCCTGGGTTGGATGTAAGATTTGTGCACGTCCTACCCTTTCTAGACCCTACTTCATGTGGGATTTTCTGGGTTTGTTTGATTTACCATACAATTACGACAAATATAAAATAGTCTCCCGGAGAAATATGCTCTTGATCCATGTTAGGTATATATATATATTTACCCTTTTTACTCTAAGGTCCTTTTCTTTTTTCTGTTAAGTCTACCGATGTTGCAATTACATATTGCACACAAGGCCCGGTTTAACAAAACTAGGGTTCGGTTGTGACCTTGTGGGTTGTAACCCAAATTAGAAATCAACTAAAATCATTTTTTAAACTTTTACAGGTCAATCGAACCCAAATAAGTTTTTAACGTCGGTTGGGCTGGTTAAAGATTAGGTTTGACAGTTGGTTCAAACGAGTTAAAGAGTCCTACATGACATTCATTTTTTTAGCTTATTGATTTATCTAAACCTTATTTTTTTAGCTTATTGATTTATCTAAACATTATTTTTGTAGCTTATTGATTTACTAAACCTTATTTTTTTAGCTTATTGATTTATATATAGGGGGCGAATCATATAGAAACCCTCCAAAAGTCAGAAACTTGTGAAAAGTGAGACAACACATGCGCACATGCAGTGTTCAATTGTTCATACAATGTTGTTTCATATATGAAACATGAAGGAATGTCTTGCTTATGGAAAAAACACCAAAATACGTTCGTACATGGAACACACACTCATATTGTACACAAGAACAAAACATGGAAAGAACATGGATCATAGCTTAAAATCAAACTCATTGGATGGTTTTGGTTGATTTCCATGGGTTTGGTTTTCACATGTGTTGTTTCATCTATGAAATTGGAAATTGGTTTTCATGGATTCTAACTTTTAGACAGTTTCTATATGATTTGCAGGATATACATATATACATATATAATATGTATATTCTCCAAGAAACAATGCTCATTTCTATGGCTACCCTGTTTAGCCTAATATGTAGAACCCACTCGGTTGAAGTCACATGTTGTTTTTGTGTAAAAATGCTACACACATTTGTAGAATTACAAGTTGACCCTAGAATGTCATAAACTTGGACATAAACACACAAGCACTCACCAAAGGGACTTTGGCCTAGCGGTATGTGAGTCATTGGCCTTCTAGGAGGTCAAGGGTTCAAACCTCACTAAAGGTGAGGAGGGTGTGTGAGTTTATTTGTTCTATTTGCCGTATATAAATATTATTCCCTTAAAAAAAAAAAAAAAAACACACACACACACACAAGCACTCCAAATATGTATATATAGTAATTAATCTTCTGAAATACTCAGCTTGAATCAGTTCTCTTACTCTAGAATTGGAAATGCATATTTATTTGGAAATTGTCTCTTTTACTCAAGTTGCTCATCTCTATACATGTATTATTGCTCTCACTAAAGTAATCCGCTATATCGTTTTCTTTAAAATTTCAAATGATCTGTCTAAGAAAACAATAAATTTTCCCTAGAAACACATTATATCTAAAAATCTCTATATATAACATATTTCGTATCTTAACACCGTGTTCTTGAATTTGGGAAGAAAAGAAAAGAAAGGAAAGGGGGAAGGAATGGAAAGGAATTAGCATTTTTTATTTGTGTTTTTGAAAGAGAAGAAAAGGGTGAAGGAATGGAAAAGAAACAATTTTTCATGTTTTTTGAACCGGGGAGATAGGAAAAGTAAGATATTGTTTTTACAAATATACCTTTTATATGGTGTTAAATTGATGGGTAGTTTTGTACTTTTACTAAATTCCACGGATTGTCTTTTCTTTCCTTCCCACATTTGGGAGGAAACTTATCATTTATTTTCGCTCTTATTCCCTTCCTTTCTGTCCTAAAAAGTTTAAAGAGCACACGTTTTTTTCCCTCCGTTTCCTTTCCTTCCCTTCGTAAAGGAGGTTTCGAGAATACAGCGTTAGAAGTCTAGGAAAGAAACTCTTTCATCTATTGGCCTTACATCTAATGTTGGCGATAATGTGTAAACAGAAGAGAGCTGGCTTTCATTTTTCCGGCCACGTGATTGGGAAATCTTAATAATGGAAGCTCTCCTACATGTTCCTGAAAACGAAGAAAAGAATAGAACATTCAGAATCCGCATCTCGGATGACATATCTCCACCCGCATGCCAGCCATGCATCACCGGCTGCACCAGAAGTCAAGAACCAGATATTCCTGAAAAGACACATGCTCAAACCAGCTAGTATTGCTGAATTTTACCATTTTCCAGTTTCACACATAATGCTGAAAGGAAGCAGGTATTCAGGTGCTTATCTTAATAAAGATTTTGCTTTTGAAGCATTTGTTTACACATTTTATATAATTGATGATGATGTTCTTGAGTTGGCCAAACTCGAATCAACCTTCAGAAATCTGTTGGTTGTAGTTGTTCGGCTTTGGCCAACGTTTGTGGTCGTTATCTGCTAGAGGGCTATTGCCATTTTATTGTTTTTTTGGTTCAATGTCTTGATAGATTATGCTCTATATGATATTGTTGTAGACTTGTAGCATACATTGAATTTATGACCCGTGACAAATATTCGTTATTTTTTGTTGCATTTATATATGGAAAATACTTACGCATACTCCTCACATTTGGTGAGGTACTTTGAACTCTTAAACCTATTGGGAGGTTGGGCCCTTCTGTAACCAGGTGCTACTGGGCCAATGACCATTTGGTATACTTACCTTATCTTTTGTAAACTTTATCTTACATACGTCTCTCTTTCGCATATTTTTCACAAGATGGGTGTTTTCACATAAACAACTGGTCCACTCTTGGAGCAGAGGTCAAGTCTGCATATATCTTACATGTCTCAGACCCCACCTCTGGATGACATATACCAAGGGGTTGTTTGGTTGGTTTTCTATTAAGTCATGTGTGGATTAATCTGTCTGTATAGATTGATAAAATTTTTGTTTGGGGGATTTTTTCATGGATAAGAGCGTGTTTTTTAAATTGGGAAATGCGGGTTTGGAAAAATCTTGATTTTCGGCGTAAAGGTCTCCCTCCTGAAAGCTTATTGAATAAGTCACTTTCTATATAATTAAGCCATTACCAAATAGTATTGTATAACTGACTGAATACGTTATAAGTCCCATTAACTTTATTAAGCTGCTAACAAATTGATCCTAAGCTTGTTTTTGGTTTTGTTTGTATCTGGATAAAGTTGGCCATATATGTGAAAACTTGTTCATATTGTTTTGTGTTCATGTCTTTGCAAAATAGGAGTATCCATTTGTCATTGGCTACATTTGCATGATGGATGAAGTGTAGGAGGTGTCTTAAGAACTAACGTTGTTGATTCAGTCAGCACGGCTAACTCGGTCAGTAACTCAGTCAACTAGTTTACCTAAAGACTAATTTTACGGATGATGCTGACTGAACACTTACCTAGTCAACATTATTATCTCTCTTACTGGGTCAAGACAAGATGCCAAATGTACTTTATCTGAAAGCAATTACTATAAAACGTTTGGTAAACAACCATTTTCAATCAATGTTTATTGAGACCGAACCTTTTATATTATTATCATTTACCCAATTTGTGTTGGTAAACGACTCCTAAAATTGGACTCCTGTAAGCGAATATAGAATCCTTTGCACAATTATTGGCTTCTGGTTCAAAAGTGGTCAAACACACTTTTGTGACCGTCGAAGAAGACGAGTTAGTCATGGACCAAGTTCGATGAACTAGTTGTGGGGCTCGTATCGGATTACAATTCCTATCCAACGGTCCATGATATCGGTACTTTATTCTTGGTTTGGTGCAAAAGTGGTCAAAACACTCTTTAATGATCATCTCAACCCAACCAATCTATCGTTCGCTACGGACCACTTGGGTAGGCTCCCTTGTATTTGGAATCGTTTGTGGACACTCTTTTATGACCGTTCGGAAAGTAGACTTGCAATAAGTTGTAGGATTCACCAAAGGGTCGTTGGTCCAACAGTATCCAGATTACCAGTAGAGTCCAACCTTTCAAGAGGTAAGGGGTTTAAATTGTGTATAAATATTATTGTATTTAAATATTATATGAAGTCAGTCTTGAAATATAATTTGAGAAATTAATAAAAATAATCATTTTCAGGCTTTATATTCATTTCTTAGTCATTTTCTCTCCCCAAATTTCAACAATATCACTACCTCTGCAAGTGACATTTTCTTAATTTACGAAAGGGTCAAAATGTAAAAATAAATCTAAACATGGTCTGCAAATGCAGAAGACGTAAATTAGATAAAGGTCAACAAATAGCTTGCTGAAATGTTGGGAGTGATTTACATATTTGGTCTATGTACTTGTAGACCATATTCAATTTTTTTAACACTTTGACCCCTCAACTAGGTGTGCTCAAAAACTCGATCAACCTAACGTAGCCCAACATGAAATAACTCAACCTGAAGCAACCCGATGTTTAATTGAGTTGTAAAATTTTCAAACCGTAGGTATTGAGTTTTATTATTTGAACCTAACTCAACCCAAAGAAACCGATATCCTTGTATTTCTTAGATATAATATGATTGTTGAATTTCTATTAATATATATCACTATCATGTACCCTCTTCATATACATGTATTTTCAATCTATTCTCCATTTCTATATAACTAATTCGTATATATGTTCAATAACTGTGAACATATATATGTAAATTGAGAAAATTAATTACATGTGATATACGTAAGATTAATAAGTATGAATAAGTTGTATCAAATGGTTGATGATCAAAAATAAATGATGAGTATAGAAATAACTTATTCATGGTTAGAATAATATTTTAATGTACCAAATCAACCAATCCGTACAGTTTGAGTTGGGTTGGGTTGTACTTTGGTTTTGGTTGAGTTGTATTAAGATTTTTCAAATTATAAACATTAAGTTGTATTGTTCAAATGTCTTCAACCCGATCAATCTAATCCATAAGTACCCATACTATTAAGAAGTCGAGGATTAAATACTTGTGAAAGTAGTTTTAAAATATTAAGAGGGAAATGGATAAAAAATTAATTAAAATGGTGAAAATGAATATTTAAATGAATTAAAAAGTGGCGAGACAAGTACGTATGGGTGGTTGTTGAGTAAGGCGTGGAAACATAGAATGATACAGAAAAAGGCTTCAGAGGAGTATCTGGTGGGTAATAATGGAGTGGGATTTTGTCTGCTTAGTAGGCCCCACACTTCAAACATTATTTATTTATGTGCTTTTTTATTTTTAATTATATTATTAAATATTTTGTAAATTTATTATTTTGACACTGTTTGAAAAAAATCATAATGCATTAAACCTCATTAATGAAAACAATTAAGATAATATATTTTTGATTTAATGTTAAATTTTATTAAAGATATATGATATTCTCTATTATGTCAGTTTAATTGGTGCGACAATAAAAGCTCATAAATCTAAAATCTCTGTAGTTGTTGGAGATATTTTAAGGGTACTTGCATGACAAAGTAACGTATTTCAACTTGATTTTTATTTTTGGTAATGTGCTTTTAAAACTTCTATTTCGGTACTCAAGATAGGAATCAAGTTAAAGTATGTTATTTTTTTCATGTAATTTGTCATGTTTTTAGTAGTTACTCGATAAATTAGCCATGTTTGCTAGATTTTGGTTGATAAACTTCGTATTATGCTCTCTTTTTCTTCTTTTCTTGAATGGCGTTCGTATTTTTTTTTCATTAATACGAAATAGGAAGCTGGTGGTGATTTAAGAGTAGACTGATGACCATTTACTTGAATGTTTATCTGATATGACCCACACAACCTTATTGATAAAATTCTAATCCATCAAAACAGCATTGTATGCAACAAGTTTCCCCATCATTTTTACTTACCAAGTAAGAGAAGACTCTTGGTCCTTAACGTTTCTCTTATCGAGTAAGATTTTTGATTCTTGTCATGTTTATACAGTAAGATAAGTGACCCGATAAGTGCTTACCGGATAAGTATTTGATAAACGATCTTTAAATGCATACTTATATATAATAAGACGGTTTCTCTAGATTAAGGAACACACTGGTAACCATTCATTTGGTAGGTATGCATGCATATGTGCATACAAGTAATTAAAGTTATTTATTGGTTATGCACGTATGCATGTCAAACAAACCATTCACATGTACATATCATTCAGATGAACAGTTACAAATATATTCTTTGTTTTTTTATTTTCTTACGATTATCCTTTGAATCTGACTCTACTTATTAATATCATTTGTACACGTATCTATACGAAGACATCCTTATATATATATATATAGAGAGAGAGAGAGAGAGAGTTTGTTTCAAATACAACTTATCGCATTTGTACAACCAATGCAACCCAATAAATTGAGATAATTATGGAAATGATGAGAGTTCATTTATTATGATTTGAATATTTATGAAAGATGAATATGATTCATTAATTATGATCAATACTTTATATTATGAAACAATCAAAACTTATATAAAATCACATATTAATCAAATGAAATGAATGATTGAGATTGGGTTGTATTGGTTGTAGAAATGTCAAAGGTTGTATAATAACCAATCTATATATATATAAATAAAGAAATGTGTGTCAATTATTACTATTAATAGAAAGAAGGGAAGTACAAGTGTTTCTTTCCCTTTATAAATAAAGAATAGAATGAACAGTCGTGGTCGTCGGCTGGCAAACTTTCCCCCCCACCACCGGACACCAACTACACCGTCAATATCACCACCCAATATCTTTTTCCAATTGACCTTTTTGACCCTAAACATTTTTTACCTATAAAAATAAATATTAAAAATTTATTTAAAATAGTCATTTCTAAGTTTTTAATTTATATCTTAACTATTTCTCTGTAGCAACTTTTCAACTTTCAAAGTAGTTATCAGAAGGCATTTGGTCTTGCGGTATGTGAGTCTTTGACCTCTTGAAAGTCAAGAGTTCAAATCTCACAAAAGATGATGAAGGTATATGAGTTTATTTGTTCTATTTGTCGTATATAAATATTATATACTAAAAAAAGAACTTTTAGAGTAGTCAGTGTAAAAAAAGGTTTTTGAACATAGTCTATAAGTGTAGGGACTAAGTCTGTAAATTAATCTCTGCGACTTGCTTATCTAATTTACAGATTTGGTCCTTATGCTTAAGTATCATGTTCAAAAACTTCTTCTTTTTTTACATTGTCACCTTTCGGTAAATTGAAGAGATGTCAATTACAGAGATTGTGATATTTTTCGAATGTGGAAAGAGATGAAAACACGAAGATTGAAAAAAATATATTGTTTGCAGAAGAATATAAAAAATGTGTATTGCTGAATACAAAATAAATATGATTAGAAATTATTTAAAAAAGACTGTATATGTTTTAAACAGTAAAACTTATTACTTCATCTGTTTTAAAATTAATGTACATAATAAAAAAGACATAGTTTTACTGGATTTAAATGTTGAAACATGGTGAATATATTGTGGATACAATGTAAATAACCTTAAGAAATTTTTTACTAAGGTATTCGCGGTTCTCAAAGGTTTCACAAGGTTTATATGGTTTTCACAGGCAGTAATTTCGGTTTAGTTTTACTGATTTAAATGTTGTTCACAA